CACTATGTTAAAATTTTGTCTATGACTCACTTCTGGCTGTAATTGACATTAATGATAAGACAGTTTACTGAGATTAATCTTTATTCTTTATTAAAGATTCTTTGACTGTGTCTTTGAATAAGGGCAGGCAGAGAGAGTTGCATGTTTTGGTAAATTTAGTATGAATGGCACCATCTGCTGGTAAAAATGAAAGTTCAACAGCTGCTCAAATGAAACTCTTTATTCAATATGTAGATACCAGAGGAATCCACCTTTACACTGTATTCACTAGAGCTTTTTATCAGCCTTATCAAAATAAATCATGTCAAGGTCAGATTTTTATCTTTACACACACACCTGCACATGTAGTTTGACAGCAGAGCTTTTCAAATCTGAAAGTCTCAATGGTGGCACTTTAATTCCTGCTCCAGTGACAATAATGACTAATCTAACTCGAAATCACCCGAAAAACAGATCTGACAACCCCTGCTGGAGGTCAGTTTGTAGTAAATACAATCATCTCATCACTAGCATGCCCTTTCACAATGACGCAGAAGAACAATTCAGTTTAAGGAACACCTGTCCACAACAAACCTGACAACACACGAGAATGATACATTCACCTTTAACCCGGGAATCACATCTGCTAACCTCCACAGAGGAACAGCAAAGACACCAAAATGGCATATAGCACACAAAACAGAGGGACTTAACAAACATGCAGGGTTTCAGTCTGGAAACTGTGATGTACAGTATAACAAGTTTGTTCAGCACAAGTGGAAGAGCAAAGGAGAAGCCACAAGGCAAGGCCGAGGACAGACAGAGATAAAGCATCAAACACAGGAAAGCAGATTCATATCTTGAAACAGCTGCAGTCCATTTATATTGGTAGAAAAAGGAAATAATTGGTCAATAATAGGTCCTTTACTACCAAAACTAAGATATATGTGAGAAACATAATATAACATTCAATAACAGTATCACCAAAGCTGACAAAAATTATGAAATTCCAATGATTTTTTGTATGATGGAACTAATGCAGAACAAACTACAAGTTTATGTTTTACAAATGACCTAATGTGTGTTAACATCAACTCATTAGCACTAAAGCAGGAGGTTGTTCAAGAATATATAAGTCACAAAAAATAATGTTCTACAAATAACTTTTTTATTTATTTTATTAGATATCCCTCTCTGAGGTCACTGTAGTTTTGTTTGTGGTGCTCACAGTGCTGAAAAGTGTGATTTGTAAATATTTCCAAATATATAACATGTGTTTCCTTTGCAAATTAGGAAAGAAATACTGTTGAATCCGACTTCCATGGATTATTCAAAAATAACTAACATTTCAGGATAAACTTTACTGTTGACTCCCCCCAGTGCTTGATTTTAGGATGACCAAAGGTGAACCAAAGTTAGGCCCAAAGTTGATCCACTTTGGATCAAAGTGACTTCTTTGGTCCAGACTGAAATATCTCATTGTTCACGTTCCCCAGAGGATATATCCTACTTAATAAAGCAGTTCATTTATTTTTCTCCATATCTTTAATTAGCTAGATGGTTATTTTTGTCTTTTATGACATTCACCTCCAAAAGACACCACCCTTGTCTGCACTGCACTACAAAATATTTATGCTAGCACAGGAAACGCACATGCTAGCTTAGCCAGCATGATAGTGCAAGGCTGCAAAGGCTAAAGAGCCTTTAACATCTTAAATAAGTGAGCATCACAAACAAATTGAATTTGCAATCTTACCATGTTTTTGTTTTTTTGTTTTGTTTTCTTGTTTTTTTAGAATTTGAGTGACTTGGCCTTTTACACATGGCTTTTAGTTTCAATTCATGATATAAATCAAAATGTAAAAACCTCAGTTCCTTGGTTTAAGAAAAAAATTAGAAAAGAATATCTGTCCACATAGTGTTAGTCTAGATATACATGCAATAAACTTACAGTCGTAGTCAAAAAGTTCTATATAGTCATCACAGGCATCAGTGTCATCTTGTGGGCTTTTAATGAGTTCTCTGAACTGTCCTTTTTTTCCAGGATGTAATAATTGTGCAGCATACAATTCTTTAGTCCTTTAAAACACAAAAATTGGGCGCACAAGTTTGAATTTGTTTTGGATATTTGGTCAAATGTTTTTTAGCAAGTTATACCTCGACTAGAGGCCTTTGTTAGCCATGAACAAGCTTCTGTGGTTAAGAAATAAGTTAGAATGTTCAGGAAGTCTGAAATCAAAACTGCTGGAACACTAGCATCACTGTCCACATTGAAGCCAGTTTTATATCACCATGGACTGAGAGGTTGTGGACCAAGAAAGAAAACCCCTGAACCAAAACTGACACCTTCAAGCTTGAAAGTTTTATGGTCAGATGAGACAAAGACTGAGCGGTTTTGCCAAAATGACAAGAGGTATGTTTGGAGCAGTAAACATGAGGCTTTCAAACCTAAGAACACTGTACCAAATGGCAAGCATGGTGGTGGCAACATTATCCTCAGGGGTGGTTTTACTGCCAGTGTACTGATAGAGTGTGCGGTGGATGAAATAATAAAAAAGAGAGATTACCTCAAAATTCTTCAACTACAGCTGAGATCAATAGCTAGGTGGTTAAAACTGGGGGACAACTAGGTGTTCCAACAACACAATGACCCCAAACACACATCAAAGCTGGTTTTGGAACAGTTTAAGCTTGCTAACATTATTCTTCTGAAATGGCCTTCCCAACTAACCAATTTAGATGAACCCTGACACTTCTGCTAAGAACAGTGGTCAAATGTCCAACTAGAATTATGCCAGAAGCTTGTTGATGGTTACTAAAGTGGTTGATTGAGTTACAAATTGTTAACAGTCATTTAACCAATTTCAGGGGTGTATATAAATCTGTGTGGATTTGACAATAAAATAAATTCACCTCGTGTAGCCAATTCTTATTTTTAAAGTAAATAAAGATGTGTGCGGTACAATCATTCCACCCTGAAAAAAGAACCATTCAAAGAAATCATTAAAAGCCCAAATTCACCCTGATATTCGTGGCCATGACGAGTGTATGCAACCTTCTGATCACAGCTGTACATACAGAGAGAGAGAGAGAGAGAAATACACACACAGGTGTGCTCACTGCAGTATCAAGAGATAGGAATGAAAAAAGCAAGATAGAGCAGCAAAGCTTCCAGCAAGGTTTGGAAGGAGAGGTGGGCTTGACGGTAAGAGAGGCACAACATCTGAGAAAGGCCTTTGAGTTTCAGGCGGAGCAGCAGCAAGGCAGGAACAGAGTGAAAAGACAGACAAAGTGACACTATGAAGAAACCAGGACAATGAGACAGATAGAGAGGGGAAAAAGACTCAAAACGTAATTTGATACCAACAGAAGTTTCCTACAGTATAAATTCTTTTTGGCAGATGAAATTAAAAGAAAGAGCAAAGCCCTTCATGGTGAACTAAACAATACCAACATGAGAGATGCAGAGAGGAAACATTCAGACAAAAGGATTCCAGGCCCAAAAAAGTCTCTTACTGTAAAAAGCAGAAAATGTAAACTTCTTTTCACTTTAGAAATGTAGCTGCTGAAGTTGCCAGTTTGGACTAAACTACTATGTATATCATTATTGATTTTTATGGCCTTGTCATTTTTGCAAATTGCAGCAAAAGGCTTAAGTATCATCAACCTATTTTATCAATGGAGTGAAAATTGTAGGAGCAAAGTTCAAACACAGTAAATCGCCACCCAAAAAACAGAAAAGCACATTGGTAAAGCAACAATGAATGAGACATAAATTAATAAATAAATAATAAAACAGCCTGTCTAATTATAAACACTTAATGAATAATTTTTAAGCAAGCCAACATTGCCAACTTTCAAGTTTTGACTCAAAACAATACCTCTTTCCCCATCCTGGTGCTATATGTTGATAACAAATTTGCTTTAGGTTTATTTATGAAATTTAATGATTTTATAATGAACACTGAGGATCCTAACCATGTCCAATGATAACTGTACCTTATACCATTAAAAGTGTTTTCATTGTTACTGGTCATAGTTACTGTAATGACTATAGCATGAGATATGAGCAAATAATATCCCAAGGGGCCAATAAATAAATGGGGACTATTTTGGAGGCTTACATAAATAAGCTGAACTCAGTTATGCTCACAATTTAATTTTATATCTTTATAAACTCAACCCTTTACAAGAGGGTAACTGCTCCTATATGTAGTTAAATCACGCATTGATACATGAAAAAGATTACTGCTACAGAAAGCAACTGTGGACAATATCTACAATCAATAAATGAATAAAAATAAAAACTTTAGAAAACAGATGAGACTTGTACACACAGTAAAGTAAAAATGTCCTAATGGCTATAATAGAGAAGGCTAAACAAGCAATTAAACTGCAGCATGAAAACTGTGACTGTGTGTAACATTACCTGTCTGGAAAAAAGTAGAGGATAATTTGCTGACAGATCTTTATCACTTGTGTGTCATGTTCATGAATGTTCATGCTCATATGGATCCTTCAGTTATATAACATTTACAAATTTAAGCAAAAAGTCACTGGGAAGACTCCTATAAACAGCTGAAAGCAATAAACTGAACTCCTGTGCTCAGCATTTTGTGCAGTCATTGTGCATGAAAGGTCTTCAGTTATTTTGGACTGTGTGTCCTTTTGCTGACTAAGGGCAAGCAAATTATTGACCAGCATGAGCCACATAAGGTAGAGCCTCAAAGCAAGTGTCTCATGCCAAAACCTTGACAGTTGGCAAACCTGAGCTGCTGCTGGTGGCTTCAAATGCACATGTAAACAAAAACGTCACACATTTCCTTTAATCAGCATACAACTGATTGGAACTCGGAAGGGGAAGGTTGCTAGAAACCCAAGCCTTTTGCAGCTTTGGCACATGCATTTGTGGGTTGCATGTGTGAAACCGCCCACTGTAGTGCTGAGCTGCAATGAGCTGCTGTTATAAAGACTTTAATCACCGCTGATAAATTTAGCTTGCTTCTGAAAAGCTTTTTTTCCCTCCAAATTCCTGCAAGAATGCCAATAGCTCTGGTAAAAAGCCACTGGCATAACATTTAATATTCTAAATGAAGCTCCTCTGTACACCTACTGCTCTGCAAAACTGCATTTCATTATCCTAATTTACCAGGTATTTCTCTCAGAAAAAACAGAATAATAAAACTCATCATGAATCTGAGTTTGTGAACATATTCCGCATATTTTATGGAAAAAAGTAAATAAAAAACAAACTGCAAAGCGCATTTCAAAAATATTTTAACAAATCACTTTCTGTAAATATGTTGCTATTCAGTAAACTGAGAAAATACCTGGTAAACAACATACTGTTCTGTGGTGAGGTTTACATGAGGACATTGGCACGTGTGTCTGGCAGTCGGAGCCCCACTAGCCCGCCGCCAACCAACACCGATGATGCCAGCAGAATGGGAATGGCCTTGGTGATGCCAACCAGAGAGCCAAAGATCAGGTTGCCCAGCACCGCTGCCAGCTTACACATAGCATTACAGAAGCCAAATCCTGTGCCCCTAAAGACAAAGAGGAGAAGAGGGTTACAAATGTACAGTAAGTATGTCTCATTTGTTTCTTAACAACGTGAAACACCATGTTTTCTTAAAAATGCTGCTCCAAATATCCCAAATGTGCAGAAATTTAATTTCTATTCAGTTCTTGCTGTAGTCAAGGGCACCAGAAGAACTTTTGATTACTAATACAAAATCAAATCTCCTGATTGCCACCAGTTTAGAGAGCCAGAAAAAGCTGTAGATAATACAGAAGCCTTGGCATGTTTTTTACTATAGTTCATAATAAAAACTGACATGAGCCCTGAAACACAATTTCTGATGCAATTTCTGCACCGGGTGTTTTATAACAAAAACTGACCAGCTTCCCTATGCCTTTGCTGTGTCTAACGTCTTGACCTCCAAATATGGTCTATGCAGCTTGATGTGGCTTCTATGAAAAGCATGGCTATTTCAAGGGATGGAAAGTTGAGAGACACTTCTGACACACATCATGGTGCATCTTGTAGATTTGCAAGTTTCGTCTTGAGTATGGGCTCTCCATTTAGGCTCACATTAGTTGGTTTTTGCAGTGACGGGAAATAATAACTCCCTTCTGATATCTTCAACCTAAAGTAATGAACCTGTTTTGAAAATTTAAGTAGTAAAAAGTAGAGGTATTTACTGTATGTTAAACTGTAGGGAGTACAAATGATAAGTTGTCAGAAAAATAAATGCTCAAATAAGGGTGCCTGAAAATTCAACTTAGTACAAATTACAAAGTATTTGTACTTCTTTACCTCCAACCTGTGTCTAGAATTAAACAGTCGACTGTCGTGACAAAAAAAACAAACTTCCAGTACTGTGAAGTGACATTACAGTCTGTGAATGGGTCAGACTTTGGCTGTGAATGTCCTCAGTGTTTCACTAATAAAAGGTTTGAGGTTGCTACTTATCAAAGTAAATTTGAAATTATTTATCACTCCCAAAACTTCCCAACTTTGAAGCAGTGCTATAGCACAGCACTGCTTAGTTTTATTCAAAGATCAAAGCAAAACTTACAAGCATGAGGAAAAACTCGATTTTTTGTTTTGTTGTTGTAATGTTTCTTGGCCTTAGGCCTCTGCAAGACTAGTTCTTGAAAAGTCTTGAAAAACAAGAATTAATAAAGATGTGTTCTTCTTTATCTTTCTTTCATATGGGGGAACTGACAAGACAAAATTTTGCACAAATATTGGTTTGCTCAGTGATAAAGCACAGAGCCACACTATTTCCTGTATTCTAAGTTAGTATATGCAGTAAGTGCACCACTCACCTCCTGTCTGTTGGGTATAGTTCAGTGGTGACCACATCCAGGGAGTTCCAGGCGGAGATACTGAGGCCGTTGTAGAGACAGAGCATGAAGATCATCATTGACTCGCTGGTGCCAAACCAAAGGAAGAAGCAGCTGATGCCTGATAGCACCATGGAACCTCCTGCAGAGCACAGCATGAGCTTTACATCTTAAACTTGAAATAACTTCATTCACGTCACTAGAGGTCACTGCAGGCACAAAAGCCAACTGCACATGACACTAGAACAACAAGGGGAAAAATTGCTATTCATATCCCACATCGAAAGGAAATCCTACCTAACATGCTTAGGCGTCCTATTTTGTCCATGAGGAGAGCAGAGACAATGTTTCCAGGAAGCACAGCCAACGTTCCCAGGAAGTTGACAAAATAGACCCAGTAGGCACTGTAATCGTCATCAAATGTCATCTGACAGCCTGTCTTGTTGTGGTGAAAAGAGCTGTTGATCACCCTTGAATTTGTCAGCTTGGTGTCATCAATATCTGTAAATGTAGAAGATAAAAAGAAAGGTTTTACATGTTGACTCGGGATTAAAAGTTTGTATCTGACTGTCACCTTCTACTACCACTTGCTATTAACTCGAACAGTGGCAGACAAGACATTATGCATTGTAACATGGAAACCAACACCTAAGAGTATGTTCAAAAGCACAAAAGCACAAAAAAACACAAAGTGTTTTCTTTGTTATATCGAGACAAGAATGAGCTTTAATCTCAAATCTGATCATGACTCTTGGGCTCAAAACTACATAAAATACAACTAATTGAAAAAAGTGAACAATGTATATCCTAAGACCAGATGCAAGACGTGAAGAAGCAGACAGATAAATGTTAACATGGAGCTGACAAAAAGGGTAAACATAAAAATGACCCAAGAACACAAGAAAGTTAAAAAAAGAAGATTATGAGTGTAACAAACAAGACATGATTCATTAATATGTTAGCTATTTGTTAGATTCAGATGTATTGATAGGCACATTTGATCAAAGCCATTCTTACTCCAGTCATGCCAGTTTAAACTAACTAGCTCCTTACTGTAGCATGTTTTGCCTGCTAGCTGAGAAAACTATAATTTGGGATTTGCCTGGTTTATGTGGCTAACAGTTAATTTGCCTGTCATTGCTAATGTAATTTGCTAATTGCAAATTTTTGAATTTCATTGACATTCCATGATGTGTTTATAAGTTGCTAAATAACTGCTAGCTTCTTCCTGTCTGAACAACCCTTTACATACAGTCCTCTAAAAAGCTAACAGCACTTAGCTTGATGGCTATGATGCTATGCATCATTAGAATACTGACTGCCTAAAAAGTTTGCTTGGACAGGATAGAAAATGACACCACAGTCCATTTAACATTACTACAGAGAGTCAAAGTACTGCAGTACTACCAGAGTTCTTTGTTTGTCTTCTCTGCAGGATAAAGGACTAAAGACTAAAAGACAGACAACAGCACAAATATAAACAACTACGATGCTGGTTCATGCTGTTTGAGTAAAATATCCATTGTGTGGCAGTTCTCTGGACAGAAACACTTTGTTGATGCCAGAGCAGAGTGGCTAGACGACCTCAAGGTGACAGGAAGGGGGGAGTAACTCAAATAATCACTCGTTAAATCCAAGGTATGCAGAAGGGCATCTCTCAAACACACAATACGTGAAATTCTGCTCTCTAGAGACACATTTCCAATTGCAAAAAGATTTCACATCTCATGGAGCATTACTGGCAAACCCGACATGCCCATGCTGTTGCTATATTCAGCGCATTCCTGAGTGCTGAAGGGGACTGATTTTCTACCATGTGCTCCCTCAAGGTCTGATTCAGCTCCAATTCTCTCAGACCATTTAAAACACCTCTCCTGCCTTTGCCTTTTGGTTCAACTTGTTTCTTTGTCGGCCTTAAAATAACTGGATTACTCTTTCATAACTTAGATTTATTAACAGTACAGTTTGACACTTTTGGTGCTGCTGCAATTTTAAATTTGTTCCTGAAAAAGAAAACAGTAATCAGCAAGACCGCCTTAGTAAAGAAAAATCCACATGCACAGAGAAATATTTCTAAATAACTGTCTGACTGAACAATCACATAAGAAAATGTATCTCTGCAGGAGTCATCATGTGGTTACAAACTGCCATTTTCAGTCCTCCCAAGCACAGCTTGGCCCACTTTTTTGTTGTTAAATAAAGTCACAGTTAGTTCAGAGAGGCAATCTGTGCAGGGGGCACAGAGGTTAAGCAGTAATTTAGAGGCATAAAGCAGAGGTATAAAATGCTCAAAACCATTCTTTCTTCTCTGAGCAAGAAGTTTGGATCCATAATGAACTGCCAGACAGAGGCGGGGAGCCTGAGTGAGACTTATGTATAAGGCAACAAGAGCCTAATAGGATTTTCTGGGTTGGAGGGAAGTACCTTTGTTCTGGAAAGGCAGAAGAGAAGTGCCCTGAATAAGTGCATTTTACAGATGTGGTTTACCTGTGTTGTAAAAGAAGGAGTCTACAAAGGTACAGTTCCTGAAAAGGGATCCTACTGAGGAGACATCTTCAAAGTAGCAGTTGAGAAAAGATGAGTCGATGAACGTGACTGCCTTAAATCTCATACTGATGAACCTAAAAAATAAAAAAAAAAATAGGAAGTGGACAAGGATGGAGTTATTGCAAGAAAGAAGCACCTACTGACAGCGATATGCAACACATATTATTGACAATTAGGGTGATGGCAGATAATTTTCCTTCAAACCAGGGAATGTGAAATGCAGAGTCACTATTTCAGTCTCTGCACAGACAACAAAGGCAGGGATGAATTGCTGAATGCAAACCAAACGGTCCAATTTCAAACTTCTTAAGATGGAATATTAGAAATTAGATGTAACAAAGGCTGCTAGATGGAAGTGAATAGCTGCATTTAACCTGATATAAAACCTCAGCAGAAATTTGAAATATTTACTAATATTTCTTTTCATTTTTTGAGATACAAGGCCTTTTACTTTTTACTGAATTGATTAGGCATTGAGGACATCTGTAACTGAACAGATAAAGCACTTAAAACCAGAATGTATGATATTCTTTATAATACTACTACTAATATAATAATAATACTGTCCACTTCCATTTGAGTGTCTCAAACTGGGGAACTATGAATACAAATAGCTGTAATTCTACAACAATTCAACAGTTAATGCAATACTTTTGTTGAGCCCCTCAAATTAAAGTTGAAAGCCAGCACTTTAATCACATGATGTATTGGTTTGATTTAAGATTCACTGTGGTGCTAAAAGAGGCAAAATTACAAAAACAAAAAAGGTCACTGTCCTCCAGCAGAACCAGGAATTTCCCACTTCAGTTCACCCTCCATTCTCCACATTTTTTTTATCATTCAGGAACAGGAAAAATAATAATAATAAATAAAAAAAAATAATCCAAGTTGAATTTTATCGAAGTACTGGTCAGCATGACAGCATCAGGAAACTGTTTTTTTTTTGTTGTTTATTTTATCTTCAAAAAACATATTTATTCTGTTCAGTTCCACTCCATATTTTTCCATGGTCAGCTGTACCCCATCTACAGTGGATCTGTTCCCCACCAATGGTATATGTCCCACAGTTTGAAAACCACCAGCATCTCCTCCCTTCAGGATGTCTGGCCTTAGCAGTCAGTTATCTATGTGTGCTATTTCACACCACGATACACAGTACATGGTACTGTTTTTGATTTAATCTCTCATAATAAATGCATTCTGGTCTCCAGTGAGAAGGCAAAAAGAACAAAAACAGCATATCAATGTGTCTTCGCTCGGCTCTGTTTGTGAGAATTGTAACCAGGAGGAGGAGGAGGACCAGATGTGTGTATATGGGTGAAAGAGAGACCATAAGAAAGAATAAGGAAGAGAGATAAGCTTTTTAATTTCCTGGTGGCAGACGAGAAAGAGGAAAGATTTATATTACCTGCAGTGGTGTGTTGTTTGTGGGAATGACAAATAGTACTGCTATCCCACAACAGGACAAGCAGCTTTAAACTCAACATTGTGCTAAAAGAGGCTTACAGGTTTAGATCACAATGTGTTACCCTGTAGCTAGTTTTAATAATTTCTCCCACTCTTGATATTGGTGTCTGAGAAAGCTGAAGATCACTGGAAAGTATTCAAATGGAAGTCAGTTTGTGCACCAAGCCTGGCGTACCTGTCATTTACAAAGACCCCATTTCTGTGGATCTGGTTCTCCAGGGTGAAGTTGAAAGTGAAGTCTTCAATGCGTTCATTGTTATGAATCTTCACTCTGGAGGCGTACTCGTCAGCTTGAAGGTGCTTGATGACATCTGGGAACCACACAGACAGCCCGTAGTACCTGAACACAGCAAAAGATTCTGTATTAAATTGCGTTACATATGGTCATTTTTAATAACCTCTAGTAATAGTCACTTTCTCTATTCTCCATCATCTTATTCTGCAGAATTGCGTTAAACAAACTGGTTAAAAGATCCACTGCCCTCTCTCATCCCCATACCTTCTCAGGTATCCCGTCTGGACCAACAGCTTTTCCATTCCGCATCCTCGTCATAGCTGACCACACTTTCTTTTTATTAATCCTCCACACTTGCTGATTCACCATCTTTACTCCATCTCCATTTGTCTCTCTCTCTCTCATTTTCTTCAGTCATAAGCTCTTCATAGTACTTCTGCCATCTTCTTAACACACTTTTTATACTTGCTAGCACATTTCGATCTCAATCTTTAATCACCCTGACCTGCTGCACATCCTTTCTGGCTCTATCTCGCTGTCTAGCCAATCGATACGCGTTAGTTTCTCCTTCCTTAGTGCCCAGACTCACCTACAACTCAATATATGCTTTTTTTCATTTGCTTCTGTCTTTACCATACAGCCAGGTTCCCAGTGCTCCTGTCTTTTTCTTTATTTTCTTTGCTAACATCTTTCTTTGAGTTGCTTTAGTCTTTCCATAAGGATCTATATTAAAAGAACATGAGTCAGATGCAACACTACTGCACAACATCTGCTGAGAAATATTTATCTGGGTGTACATATATGCAGATGGTTAGGTGGAAGGTAAAAGACATGAAACTGTCTTTGTTTAAATGATACTGCTTTGTCTAAATTGCCACAAAGTCATTAGGACAGTGCAGCATTAACTGACCACAAGTTCAAAGCCATTGCCCTGATGTTGATGTTTTCTTGCAGAGGTAGAGTATGAGGTGTAATTGAATACCAGTTTTTTAAAAAACAAACAAACAAACAAACAAACAAAAAAAAACCTATTGTATTTGACTTGGGGTGTCAAATGGAAAAAATCCAGTCAATCATAGAAAGCTTGTAACAGAAAAACTGTCATAAATATGATGTAAAATAAAAGCAATAAAAGACACAAATTAAATGTAATCTAACTGACCACGGCTCATCAGACAGATATAAGTGAGAGAACATCTACTTTGGTGCCAAGGGCATAACAGAAATCTATATTAGCTATGCATCATCCAGAGCAAAAAACAGCATATCTGAACATGATCAAAGCCAACAGTAACAACACATTCAAAGTGCAGAAGTAGAACTATATGGGATGTGTAATAACTGTCTTACCCAAAGGACAAAGTAAACCAGACTGCAGCCAGCTTCATAGTGTTTTCTTTCACTGGGTGGTTGAAACATTTCATGAATGTCAACCAGATCTGATATAAAAGAAAAAGGTTTTGGTGAATTTTATTCATAGCAACCATAAATATTGACTATAAAAGAAAATGCAGCAACAAAAGTGAAGGTTAACAAACAGGAAATAAAGAGTCTCCTACTCCTCTGAGTTCAGCCCTGATCTTGAAGAGGACCTTGAGTACAGGGTTGGCTGACTCATTCTGCATCTCTACCAGCTCATCCAGCTGTTTGGGGATTTTTATCCTGTTCACCTGCAGGGGGAGACACTGATCAGTCATCTGCCAATGGCTTTGCAGCAGCAGCAGGAATGATGAAGAGCAAAGCCCGGGGTGTACTCACAGTGAAGACTCTCTCTGGCTCTCCGCGGGCACGCATGTTTGTGTCATGGATGTGTTTGAGCACCATCCAGGCCTCGTCGTGTTTACCCATCTGGGGAATAGTTATCATAATTTGGATATATATGCTGGATTTCAATATTAACACTCCACATACACAGTGAAGTGGGCACTGAATGTCTGTTTTTATTAAAAAATAAATAGCACATGTATGCGATTTATATATCTGTGTGTAAAGTCTATTTCATGTGTTGCACAGTGACCTTCACCTCTATGCCCCAACCCCAGCATCAGAATCTCCACACTGCTGTCCTAATAAGTAAGCTTATTAAGAAGAGCAGGCTGAAAATAAGCTTTTTGCTGTTCTCCTAGGAGAATGATTTTGTTTCATTTAATTTGTTCTTTTTGATAAAAGGATAATATAAAGCAATTATTGTACATAAACTTCAGTTTCATGCAAGGGCATCTAACAGATGGTATCCACTTTGTGAGAAAAAAAAAAGCTTCATTGTGTGCCAGTGATTTATTTTTTCTTTGCAGCTTTTTGTTAGGGAGGCAGCATCAGAGAGAGTGACTCTAAGAAACTGAAAAAACTGATAAAGGCTGGCTGAGCTCCATGGGGAATACTCTGAGGTCCATACATGTGTTGTGTAGAGAGGGAAGCGCCACAAAGTGGTCAATGTAATGAACAACACTGCACACTCTTGCTACACATCATGCTAGTTGGACAACAGGCTCTGTCAGAGGCTCCTTTAGACTTTTAGTCCTCCAAGGTGGTATAAAAGTCTAAAAGTGGGAAGCATTTAATGCTCACTGCAATAGCCATCTGGAGTTTAGGATTCCACTGTGTGTACGGAGACTAGACTTCTCCATTGAATGGTAACACATAAAAATGCATACTCTTTGTAACATCTGCTTTTAAGTTTAAAATTCTAATTCTTTTTCTTTATTACACCCCAGTGGAAGTCTTAGTAGTACACTTTGCATCTCCCTCTATGAATATTTTATGTGTAATAATAAATAATGATCAGAAATAATAGAGGATAAATACATCTTCATAAAGTTTCAAATTTACCTGTTACAGTTTTACTTTCCATTTTCATGTTCTTTATATACACTGCTACAGTAGTGAGTGTTTAAGTTTCAAATAATGAGGTCAGCATATGTACAAGTAATTACTGTGATTTTGAGTTTTAACTAAATTCATCGCTTGCCTAATAGGGCGCTAAAGCTCACCTACCTGTAGTTTAATATGTATCTTAGTGGGAAGCCAATCAGAAAAAAGTTGACTTAAAAAGTGACATCAAGATTGTTTTTCACTACGGTCTGATTTTGTCTGATATCTACAAGAATCATAATTATTCTTTTCTTTAAATAATAAGGCTAATGGTTCTCTGTAAGAGTGTCTTTTCTTTATAATGAGGAAGACATGTTACCCAGTCCATCAGTGTGGCTCACTAATGTGATTTTAATTGTGATTTTAAAAGAAGAATGAACAAGTTGCAAGCAAGCGGGAACAGTTCATATACTAAACATCTCCTTTACCTCCAGGTAGAAACGGGGGCTTTCAGGCATAAAAGTGAGAGCTATCACAGCAGAGACACAGGGCAGCGCACACACCACCACAAACACTCGCCAGCTGTGGAACTGGTAGGCTGATCCCATGCTGAAACTCCAGCCTGCACAGAGAACCATGCACACACAAGGACAGTTAGAAATAATGTGGCATAGCATCACGTTGTGAGCTCAGTCCCCGTTGCACAAGAAGACATAAAACTTAAATTCAAGCACACATGTATACTTGCTGTAGCTTTTTTTTTCTGTCCCTCAAGGTTGGACAGAAATGCAGTTAGTGGAATTATGTTAACTGCTAAATTCCCCATAGGTGTGAACGTGAGCGTGAATGGTTGTCTGTCTCTCTGTGTTAGCCCTGCATCAGCTTGGCAACCTGTCCAGGGTTCCCACCCTATTGTAGCTGTGATAGGCTCCAAAACTGAGCATTGCATTAGTTCAGGTGGGCCATAAAGTCAAGTCTCTCAGCATTCCTGTCAGATCAGCTGATCTCAGTGGCAGGCCACATGACTCTTTTCGACATCCAACTGGAAAATTTCTTAGGCGTGGTTATTTAAGCTGATTTAGCTGCTTTTACAAAACTGTGCCTGAAAAAAACAGTTTGTGGTGTCTAATGCACTGTATTCACAATTAAGAAAGATTTAATCCTCTACAAAATGTTATAATAATATTCTAGTAGAGATTCAACGAGTCCCCTTAGGATTTGGTCCCATAATAGAAAAAACAAAAGAGACAAAACATGATGTCTTTAAAATGATCTAATGAAAAAAGAAAAATACTTTAATTATCACTTTCTAACGATATGTTGGTCACTATGTGTTCTGAAAAAGAACAGAGATCTTTTGACACTGGCTCCATTCCAATACTAAAATCTGAAAAACATCAAATACAAAAGTACTCTGTGATTTCTCTAAAAGTTTCAAAAGCTCCAAAGGACATTCTGCAATGACCATCAACAAGTGTTAGCAATATATGATGGAGTACCTATACAGTGGGGCAAAAAAGTATTTAGTCAGCCACCGATTGTGCAAGTTCCCCCACTTAAAATGATGACAGAGGTCAGTAATTTGCACCAGAGGTA